TTCAGTTCTTTAAGTTCTCACGTATATATCTCACAGAAATACGGGTGCTAAAGTCTCTCCTGCAATGTATATCGAAAAAGTTACAGAAGCTGCGTTCGACGATGTTTCGCCTGAGGATCCGGATTTTCCATTCATACAAGGTTACAGTTTCTTCGTACCAGACGCTCGTTTGACAGTGGACGTTTGAGCAGGCCTGGCGGAGGCAGGGCTTATTTTCAGTAAGCTATCACGGGGTCCAGATAGTGATGGCCCGATCCATTTTCTTCCTGACCGGTAATGCTGTTGCACGGGCCACCAGCACATGTTTTAATGCGTGCAAGTTTTTGCAGTCCATTGTCACGTCAAGATCTTATAAGCTGGAAGTTTGCCGTGGAAAATCATAGTCTTCCGGTCGCAAATCGAAATGTGAGTTTGTTTTTGAGCTCAAGAAGGCTGCTTGTTTGATGTTGATATTACTTGCAGAAATTGCAAGAAAGGTTCATCGACATTGATAACATTCATACGGATGTTTGGCCTGCTATTGCAGCGGATGTTGCTGCGGGCGACCGAAGCATTATATCGTCTGCATTCGGTACTTCAGCTAAAACTATTTCCATTTCTGGTCTGACATGTTTTGGCAGGATACACGAGGCTGTTTCAACCACATAAACCCGTTACTACGGGCCAGGCAGCGGTTGCACTGTCATCTGGTGAGGCATCAGAGCATATCGGCGAGGAGCTTGAGCGTCTAGAAGCTGAAAGACATGCGGAAAAGGCGGTGGCTGCTGAGATAGCACTAGAGGCTCGTGCACAGAAAGAAGCGAATGCTGTTTTTCGTGAAGAATTGGATCGACAGAGGCAGTTGACGGTCGAAGCTGAGGCAGTGGCCGAGAGATTGAGGGAAGAGCTGGAGAAGCTGAAAAGTGAAAGAGAAGAAGAAAAGTACGGCGTAATGAAGGAAAGAGCCTCGTTGGACGCTGCAAAGGAAGCTCTGTCTCGAGCACGGCTTGAGGTTGATGAACTTCTGCAAGGGTTGTCTTCGGAAAAAGTAAAGGTGGTGTTTGAGCGGGACAGAATGGAGAAGCTTCTGGCCGAGATTGAAGAAGAGCGGGATACGCTGGAGAATGTGAAGTCGGAGACCCAAGTAGAAAAGAAAGCTCTCGTCCTTGCAAGGTAAACTTTTCCTCTTTTTTTGTTCCTCGTTCTGATGGTTTCTTTGGGCAGAACTTGGGCCGAGGAAGAAGCAAAGAAGGCAATGGCTCACGCTAAAGTTCTAGAGGAAGCGCGAAAGAGATGGGAGTCTCAAGGGATTGAGGTTCACGTTGACAAGGATCTGGACGACAGTAACATCCCGGTCCCAAGCTGGCAGTTCGAGAAGCTCGAGCTCCAGGACACGTCGCAGCAGGCAAAACCTCCAATGCACGGCATCCTGGTGAAAGCCGACGAGTTCAAAGGGAGGAGCTTGCAGTTCCTGAGAGAAGCGATGCAAACTTCCAACCAGAGGCTGAGCGTGGCGCAGCAGAGGATGCTGGAGTCCATGGAAAAGATCGCGAGGAAGGCCGGAGAAGTCCGAGATAACACTTTCTTCGTGGTGAGGAAACGCGCCGGCGAGGCCCAGAGCGCTGCTGCGTCGATGGCGTCCGAGATCTCGGCGCTGGTAGCCAAGAACACGAACAAGCTCGCGGATGGTTGCAAGGGAAGCGCTGAGAAGCTCGCTCAGATCTTCAAGCCCTGAAGAAGCCACAAGAATGCGCGAAGACGAAACCGAGGTTTTGAAAGAAATAAGTGTTTGACGGCCCGGATGTGGCACTGGAGCCAACGGCTGGGATCGGCCCCTTGTTGAGCTAAACTTCCTCTTCAAGGTTTTGAAAAACCCTAAATCTCGAAGGCGCGAATTCTATGGCCCGTAGCAAGGTGTGTTCTTCCTCGATCGGTAGCTCCGATTGTTCTTGCGTCGTTTCTAGCTTACATTTGTGATAGCGATCTCTTCTTGGCTCAGGAATCGCTAGTTTTTGTTCTCGATGTGTCTCCGTCGATGCATCCCTATCTCCATCACGTTTCTAAAGCTACGGCAGCTGTGCTGGAAAGGAAGGTAAGTTTCTATGAGAATTTTTTGCTCATTCTTCCTTGAATTTCTTTCGTTCCAGTTATTCAATCACAAAAACGATGAGGTGGGACTTGTTCTCTTTGGCATGGAAGGTAAGCTTTAAGGATCTTCCTAGAAAATCTTGAGAAGGTTTTCTTTCTCTTCTCAGAGACTGATAACGATCTTAGACGAGAAGTTGGGGAAGCATACGAAGGCATTGTGAGCGAACCGATTACGCTTGTCGATGGTGAGCTGGTGACGAAGCTGCGAGCGCTTCCCCGGGGATGCTACGCAGGAGACTGTATCCTTTTTTTATGTGATCGTTTCTTTGATACTTCCGTTCTTCTTAACAAGCACCACTACAGATGTCGATGCCATCGTTGTTGCCACAGATATGATCTTCAAAAAGTATGGAGATGGAAAGAAAGGAAACAAGCGGATCTGCCTTATAACCGATGCCCAGTCGCCGATAAAAGAGCCAATGGAAGGTATGAGTATGATGGAACAGGTTGAGAAAATCGCAGAGAAAATGGAAGACCATGGAGTGAAGTTCGACGCGGCTATACTCAGAATGAACGAGGAAAAGCGTGAAAGCGGCTCGGAGAGCACGGAGATTCTAGAGAATTTAGCGTCTCGGACGCACGGAGAAGTCACAACCGTGGAAAGTCCTCTGTGCTTGTTTGGAGCTCTAAAGCCTCGCACAGTAACTCCCACGACGCTCTACCGAGGAGATATGGAGATGACACCAGGTGCACGAATTAAGGTACTGGGTGTTTCACTGTGTTTTGTTCTAATTTTTTTTTTTCTTTTTTTTCTGCTTCTCCAGGTTTGGGTTTACAAGAAAGCCGCTCAAGAAAGAGTTCCTAGTCTTAAGGTTTACTCAGACAAAGCACCCCAAAGTGATGCGCTTGCGACTCACGTTGTGAAAATGGATACTGATTACAAAAGCAGTGACGACCCGACAGTGTCCATTCCGAAAGCACAACGAGCAAAGGGTTACTACTATGGTCAGCAGCTTATCCCTGTGACCCCAGACATGGAACTCTCACTCAAGTTCACTGCTGACAAAGGAGTAAAGCTCCTAGGATTCACAGAAGCTGCCAATATTCCAAGGTAATGGATTTTTCTTTCCCTCTCGTACGTGATTTTAACTGTGCGAACGTAGGCACTACTATATGAAGGAGCCGAATCTTTTTGTTCCGGAGCCTGGCAATCGTAAAGCTTCTCTTGCAATATCCGCTCTTGCACGAGCTCTGAAACAAACGAACATGGTGGCCTTAGTCCGGTGTGTTTGGAGACAAGGACAACGAAATGTTGTGATGGGAGTTTTGACACCAAATCTATCCTTCGAAGATGGCATCGTAAGTTTTTGTCATTGTCCTTCAGCAAGATTTTACCCGGTGTTGCGATTTGTAGGCAGATTCTTTCTATTTCAACATCGTGCCATTTGCCGAAGATATTCGTGAGTTTGGCTTTGCATCATTTGATGACCGACCTGCGTCCCAGTTGCCTTCAAAGCAACAAGAAGAAGCTACTGATTTACTAGTTCAGATGCTCGACCTTTCGCCCTCAGACAGCGTCGAGTCCCTGCAACCGGAGAAAACGAGCAATCCAGTTTTACAGGTAGACCAATATACCAAGCTCCCTGACTTATTTTATGATTGCATGCAGCGATTCTACCACTTTCTCTATTTGAAATCACTAAACCCAGACGCATTGGTACCTCAATTAGACGAAACTCTGAAGAAAGTCATAGAACCAGATTTTTCATCGGAGCATATTGAAAAACTTCAAGGACTTTGTAGCCAATTTACATTAGTGAACGTGCAGGTGAGGCTCTGTGCTTCTGTCTCCCTCGTTTTTCTCAGTCGGGTGGTATGCGCAGAAATCCAAAAACTCGACAAAGTTTTGGAAAGACAGAATCGGGTGGTATGCGCAGAAAACCAAAAACTCGACAAAGTTTTGGAAAGACAGAATCGAAGCCGCTGCTAAAGACGATGATGCGGAAGCAAAGCCGGATGTGGATACCTCGGGCAGTGGTCTCTCGTTCGACAGTTTTGCTACACGCCAGGTCGAGGAAGTTGGAAGCTTAAACCCAGTCCAGGACTTCCAAACGCTACTAGCTCGTCGGGACAGTGACGAATGGGTCGGGAAAGCTATACAAGGAATGAAGAAAATCATCATCGATCTCTTGGATTCCTCGTACAAAGGGAACACTTACGACAAAGCACTGACTTGCTTAGCCGCTCTCCGAAGTGGTTGCGTGATGCAAGAGGTAAGCATGCAGTCTGCAACATTTTCGGAGCTAAACTCTTGTTTTCTCCAGGAATCCAAAGAATTCAACGACTTCTTTCGTGTGCTAGCTGACAAGTGCCAAGGGAAGCGCTTGAGCGACTTCTGGGACGCAGTGATCCAGAGGAAGTTGACACTGATCTCCAAAGGAGAAGTTTCAGACAGGTATAGTTTTTTTTTTTCCTTCTTTTGTGCGTTCATCCATGAAAGTTTTCCAAACAGCGATGTCACTGAGGAGGCAGCACTGGCATTCTTGACTTCGAGAACCGTCAAGGAGGAGCCAACCACGGCAGAAGAAGCGGAAGAAATCGACGAAATGGATGCTCTACTTGGAGAAGCTGTGTGAAGGTTCGTCACCAGAATTTTCGTTTTCCTCCTTGCTGACACTGGAAGTTCGTATCCTCCACAGTAATCAAACGAAGAGCAAAAAAAATTTCTTCCTTTCTAAACTTTCTTCTTTTTTCTTTGTCATCGGTCGTCGTGTCGCGCTTCATCTTCATTCCTTGATCCTTGGAAACGTACTTCCACGCGCGAAGATTCCGGAATGTGTTGATCGACGGTCTAGATCTCGTCCCGCCAGAGGAACGGACACGGCCCGCCGCTTACGGGGCTATAGTGATAAACCAAGTGTGGAGGGAAGACTATACTGTAGTTCTAGCTGCCTCAAAACCCTAGAGGCTAGGCTCCGGGCCTTGGCGGCGATCGATCGATCCATCTCATGGCGGCCGTGATGGCGGCGACGACGGCGTCCCCTGCTGCTGCTGCCGCGGCGCCGGCGGATACGTCACCGCCGCCGCCTCCTCCTCCTCCTGCCGTCCCAGGTGTGGCTGCTCCTTCCGGCGTCTCGCTCTATGTGGGAGATCTGGACGAGACTGTGGCGGAGACTCAGCTCTTCACCATTTTCTCCCAGATGGGCCTGGTTACCTCTGTGCGCGTCTGCCGCGATGCCGTGACGAGGAGGTCCCTTGGCTATGGATATGTGAACTACTCTTCTGGCGCCGATGGTGAGTGCTCTCTTGTTCCTTTTTGGTTTCTGGTCGCTTAGAATCGTCGTCTCTTTGAATGCTCAGCGGTGCGAGCTATGGAGGCCTTGAATTACACGCCCATCAATGGGAAGACCATCAGGATAATGTGGTCTCACAGGGACCCCAGTACGCGCAAGAGTGGCGTGGGGAACATCTTTATCAAGGTAAGGCTTTTTTTTTTCACTAAAGCCATGGATGCTTTGCTAACACATGGTCTGTGAGTAGAACCTTGACGAGTCCATCGACAACAAGGCCCTCCACGATACTTTCATTGCCTTTGGCCCGATTCTGTCCTGCAAGATTGCTCATCAAGATGGAAGAAGCAAGGGGTATGGTTTTGTCCACTTTGAAACGGACGAAGCTGCAAACCTCGCAATCGAGAAGGTCAATGGGATGCAGCTAGTCGGAAAGAAAGTGTGAGTTTTCTGTGAGGCTCGCCATTCATCTTCTTCTGACCGGGTTTTGTTTTTCAGGTTCGTGGCCAAGTTCGTGAAGCGGAGTGACAGGCTTGCAGCAACCGGCGAGACCAAATTCACGAATGTTTTCGTCAAGAACCTTGACCCGGAAATGGCGGAAGAAGAGATCAAGGAGCATTTCTCGACTTTTGGAGTCATTACCAACGTGGTCATAATGAAAGACGAGAACGACAAGTCTAAAGGTTTTGGCTTCGTGAATTTTGACGACCCGGAGGCTGCAAGGGCAGCGGTTGAAACGATGAACAACAGCCAACTTGGTAAGCCTTCTTGGCCTTTGAGGTGCATTTTAACATGTTTGCTCGGCAGGATCCAGAACAATATACGTCGGAAGGGCGCAGAAGAAGGCGGAACGTGAGCAGATACTTCGCCGACAATTCGAAGAGAAACGGATGGAACAGTTCCAGAAGTATCAGGTTTGTCATTGTTTTCCTGTTTCTACGATGCTTCATTATAGACTTACGTGCTTTCGCTTTTAGGGAGCCAATTTATATGTGAAAAACCTCGATGATTCCATAGACGATGAAACTCTAAAGCAGGAGTTCTCTCGCTATGGCAACATCACGTCAGCAAAAGTAATGCGCGATGAGAAGGGCATCAGCAAGGGCTTCGGTTTTGTGTGCTTCACGTCGCCAGAAGAAGCTTCAAGGGCAGCCACAGAGACAAACGGTATGTTTCTGTCCTGTGCTTAACTTTTACTGAATGTGATTGTGATCTTACAGGCCTTATGATCAATGGAAAGCCGATATATGTTGCTATGGCCCAGCGCAAGGAGATAAGGCAAGCTCAGCTTCAGCAGCAGTATGCTCAGCGCATGAGCGGCTTGATGCCTCCCCCCGGTGCTCAAGTTGCAGCTGCCTATCCTCCAGTCTACTACGCTGCCCCTCCTGCGCTCTTGCCACAGGTACCTCAAAGGCAAGGCCTCATGTATCAGCCTGTCATGAGGCCCGGATGGAGAACTGGTCCGCTAGCCCCACCAGGAAGGCCATCACTGCAACCTTTGCCACCGTACGCTTTGGTAAGAAATAAAAAAGGAGTCCCTTTAAGCATCTCTTCTTACATTTTTGGTGTAATGCAGGTTCCTAACGCGCAGAGGCAGCAGAGACAGGTTAGGAACCGGCCTCCAGGGGGACAACCGCTTGCGCAAATACCACAGCTGCAGATTCCACAGCCGCAAGCCATTCAGCCTGGCGGCTACAAAGAAAACGGAAGAAACCAACAGGTACTGTTTCTCTTTTTTCTTTTGAGTGTGGTAGTGTGTGTGTATCTTTCAAGTTCTAAATCTTTTTTGCAGCAACGACCACGGCAGGCTATGAAATATGTCAACAATGGCAGGCCTCGGGATGGAGCAGCAGCGGGCGGGCCGGTGCTCATGGTCCCTGGAAACATGCCCATGGGTGGAAACGACGTTCTTAGCATGATGTCGGCGGCGTCTCCACAGCAGCAAAAGCAGCTACTGGGAGAGCGTCTCTTCCCTCTCGTCCGGACACACCAGGTACCATCTCTTGCTTTTTAGTTTCGCGGAGCTCACAGGTTTTGCTTTGATGGTGGCAGTTTGATCTTGCGGGCAAGATCACTGGAATGCTGCTGGAGATGGACAACTCGGAGCTGCTTGTGCTACTGGAGACTCCCGAGGCTCTGGCCTCCAAGGTGGACGAAGCCGTTCAGGTGCTACAGCAGCACTCCAAGGCCTCCACGGTTCCATCCTCGCCCCTCGCGGAGGTTCCAGTGGCTTAGAGCACCCAGCCGACGACGACGACAACAAGCAAAAAAGAAGAAAAAAAAGAGGAGAGAACCATCGATCGATCGTTTTGAGTTTTGAGTATGAGCTCCTCACAGTTTTGCCAGGCTTTTTTGTTTCGAAGACTCTTTTAGTTTGTAGCACTGTGCTGGCGCGATCTAGAACACAGCAGTTTTGGCGCGGGAAAGAGTCTCCACTCTCTTTATATTTCTTTGTGTGTGTCCAGCTTAAAAAAATCTATTGGAAGAAGAAAGGGGAATATACTAAGGAATAGAGCAGGAGCCCTAATTTTCTCGAGAGATCAGTCGCGCGAAGAGGAGCATGATCGGCGTAGGCGCTGGGCAGCTGGGGCGGGCGCTATGAATCTCCAGGTGTGTATTGCGACTCGCGCCGCGCCTAGAGATCTCTCTCTGGAGCTTAGGTTTCCGTCCGCGTCCTTGGATTGCTTGCAGCCAATGCTGTGAGCCGAGAAGATGAGCAACGTCCCGCCCCCCATGTCTTCGCAAGCTGCCTATCCTCCCCCAATGCAAATGCGTCCCAATCAGGCCTCAGGTCCTTTCGCTCAGCCACAGAGACCTCCTCAAGGACCTCCTGGAATGGTATGTATGCTTTGCTTTTGTTTTGTTTGCCTTGGCTCTTTCTCTTATCTTATGTCTTCCCTTTGTTTTCTGTTCTTTTGCTCGCTCTCGCAGTATGGATCTGCCGTTCCCTTTCCTCAACAAGGCAATGCGTATCCAGGCTCTTATCAGGTCGGGAATCCGGGTCAGCTTCTTCAGTCTTATCCAGTAAACGCAGGACAAACTAACAATGGTATGGCACAAGGTCTGCATTCGGGCGTACCACCTCCAGGATCAGTAAGTTGTTCTTTGATCCCCGCTACTTTAGTGCGAGTGCTGATTTGTTTTTTGCTTCTGCTTTTATCGGTGCTGCTACAGCGAGCTTCTGAATGGCAGGAGCATTTTTCTCCTGACGGGAGAAGGTTGGTCTTTAAATGTTTGAGTTCTCGGCCTTTTTACTCATGGTTTTGGTTTCTTGCCCTGAAGGTATTATTACAATAAGCGGACTAAGCAGTCGAGCTGGGAAAAGCCAGACGAGTTGATGACTCCGACCGAGGTTAAGTTTTTCTTGAGTTTTTTTCTCTCAGGGACTTACGTTTGTGTGTTTCCCTTTTAGCGAGCTGATGCTTCAACTGTTTGGAAAGAGTTCGTGACTGCTGATAGCAGAAAGTAAGTTAATAAGGTTTTCTTGCATATTTCAATGCTGATGAGCACTTCGATTTCTAGATATTATTACAACAAGTTGACGAGGCAGTCTACATGGACAATGCCGGAGGAAATGAGAGTATGTCTCAGACTTTCATCCTTTGCTTTTTACATTGTTGTTTTGTGCAGGTAGCTCGCGAGCAGGCGGATAGGGGATATATGGGAGTCGCTAAGATGGAAACTGCTCCCGGTATATCGGCACCGTCACCTTTACTTTCTTCTCCTCTTCCTTCGTCTCCTGTTGTAGCTCCTGTAGCTCAGACCCTCACCCCTGCCGCTACAGGAATCCCGTCTCCAGCGCCTCTTGCAGGGTATGTTCATTTGGTGGTTTGTATCCGTTAAAACTCACTGATGTTCTGTAGGTCTGGCGCTGACGCTGCTGAGTCTACCGAGGAGACACAACAGACACAACAGGATCTGGAGGTAGGCAGTAAATGCGGTTTCTTATGTATTCTGAGGTTTGAGTATCCTCAGGAAGCAAAAAAATCGTTACCATCGATTGGTAAGATCAATATTGCTCCAGTTTCAGAGGGAAAGTCATTTTCCACGGAGGAGCCTTTGATTTCTTATGCGACAAAAAATGTACGCTCTGCTGATTGCAAGCTTGCTTCTAACTTCATATTCAGGAGGCAAAAAGCGCCTTTAAAGAACTTTTGGAAGCCATGCACGTTCAATCCGATTGGACCTGGGATCAGGTTTGATAACTTTTCCTTCGTCGCTAACATGAAATTTAACATTTACTATATTTCAGGCTATGCGCGTAATTATAAATGACAAACGGTATGGTGCCTTGAAATCTTTAGGTGAACGCAAGCAAGCTTTCAACGAGGTAACCTTAAATTTTTGTAGATTGTATCAAACTGTTTTATTCTGCCATCTCGTAGTATCTTGCGCAAAGAAAAAAGTTGGATCTTGAAGAAAAGCGTTTAAAACAAAAGAAAGCACGTGAAGATTTTATAAAGATGTTGGAAGTAAGTTTTGTTGCTCTGGTATCTGTCAGCTTACATGTTTTGCCTCGGCAACAATTTGTGTCTGCTTTAGGAATCCAAGGAGTTGACATCAGCCATGCGTTGGAGGTCAGGAGATTTAATTGGTTGCTTTGTTTTACATAACGTTTTATTTCTACAGCAAGGTCGTATCTCTTTTTGAAAGTGACCCACGTTTTCATGCCGTGGATAAAGAGCGAGAGCGTGAAGATCTTTTTGACGACTATTTGCTGGACCTGGAGCGCAAAGTAAATTATCATTGAGTTTTCTTTCGTTTTTTATTTGACATTTGCATTTCAGGAGCGAGACAAGGCTCGGGAGGAGAAAAAGAAAAGTCGCGCGGACTTCAGAAGTTACCTCGAGTCCTGTGATTTTATTAAGGTATTTGTAGTGGTGCTTTAATCCTCTTACTCACTGTATGTATAGGTAAATTCCCATTGGAGGAAAATTCAGGATAAACTCGATGACGACGAGCGCTGGAGCCGATTAGATAAAATGGACCGCTTAGAAGTCTTTCAGGTTCTCGCTACATTTTTTTAAGTGCAAACTAACACGAACTTGTGAATTTTGAAGGAATATATTCGTGATTTGGAAAAGGAAGAGGAAGAAGAAAAGAAAATGCAAAAGGTTGGGATAGAGATTATTTTCTTTAGCTTCTAATAATAATGTTGGCTTTTCCGCAGGAACAAATACGCCGGAAAGAGCGTAAGAATCGGGACGAGTTTAGAAGTCTCTTGGAATTTCACAAAGCAGCAGGAATATTGGTTGCAAGGTGCCCATGGCGAGACTACTTAGCTAAGGTAAAAAAAATTTGCGTCAGTTTAACATTTGACGATTTCTTCGCAGATCAAAGAGCATCCTGCTTATCAGGCAATATGTACGAATCTGTCGGGTTCGACACCGAAGGAACTTTTTATGGATGTCCTGGAGGAGCTTGACAAGCTGGTTAGTCAGAATGTCCATCTTAGTTTGTAATGAAACGTTTTCTTTTGAACAGTATCTCGAAGACAAGGCCAAGATCAAAGACATCATGAAGGTCGGAAAGGTAGCACGGTTCTTTTTATAGTAATTTGTATTTATCAATTATCATCTGTAGATTACGGTGGTACCGACAACCACTTACGACGATTTCAAGGCTGCACTAGCCGAGGCAGGTGACTTGACGGCGATATCTGAACTGCATATAAAGGTGAGTAACTTTCCAGTCTTTCTCTCTTCTTTTCTGACACAAACACGCAAAACAGCTAGCTTTTGAAGACGCTCTCGAACGACTAAAGGAGAAAGAAGAAAAGGAGGCTAAGAAACGGCGACGCTTAGCTGAGGAGTTCTCTACTCTACTCCGATCAAACAAGGTTTCCGGTGATAGATTGGCTGGGAAAGTTAATGAAATTTTCTTGCAGACAATAACGGCTACATCTAACTGGGAAGAGTCCAAACCGTTGCTACAGGAGACGGTGGAGTTTAGGTACGTGTAGAATCTTCTCAAATAATTTACCGGTTTCGAGTTATACTGCAGGGCTATTGATGACGAGGTGGTGCTGAGAAAGCTTTTCGATGAGCACGTAGCTCATTTGCAACAGAAACTCAAGGAAAAAGATCGCAAGCGAGAGAAGGAGGAAAAGGTATGTGCATAAGGTATCCTTGGTAATGCTGGACTCACTTGCCCTCGTTCCAGAAGGACAAAGATAAAGACAGTAAAGACGACAAAGATAAGGAGCGGAAGAAAGACAAGAGCAGCAAGAAGGATCGTAACGAGGATGGTGAACCAGCGCTCAGTAAAGAAGAAAAGAAGAAGGACAAGGACAGGGACCGTGACAAAGAAAAGAGGCACAGAAGGCGTCACAGGAGCGCAAGCAGCGACGATGGATCCGACAGAGATGACAGGGACGAGGCTAGGAAATCCCGGAAGCATGGACACGAGCACAGACGATCTTCAAGGAGGGTAAGCGTCGGTTATTTTCCAGGAACTTTCAGTCTCTAATTTTCGCTTCTTCCCCAGCATGGCCACGACTCTGATTCTGATACCGAGGCCAAGCCGAAACGGCAAAAGCGGGAGCGGCGGAGCACCGAGGAACTGGAGGACGGGGAGGTCGGCGAAGACGGCGAGATACGCAGCTAGGATACCATGTTTGTTAACTCCTCCCTTTCTCGCTTGTCCATCTTTCTAGCTCTCTCCACCTCGCTAGTCCGGTGGCGTGATTGTTTGGAGAACTCTTTAACTCACGTTCTTAGTTTCTAGATCTTGGGCTTGCATTCGTGGTCTTGCCTGTTTGTCGATAGGCTTCGTGGTTCTGGATTCTGGTACTGAGACGTTTGTTTTGGTGTCTTCGTTTCTCCAAGCTTGGATGGGAGCTTACAAAGCAGCTGCTAGAACGAGGTATAGAACACAAAAGCTATGGAAGTTCTTTATCTTGGCGCTAACCAAACGTTTTTGCGTGTGTAGTCCCGGGAGTGGAAAGTTTTAAAGTTCGTGTAGTCATGGAATGGCAACTCATGGAGATCAAGCCAAGACGGTCGCGCTCCAAGACTTCGCCGAGCGAGATGAGCGGCAGAGAGCTCTGGCAGTGTCGATCCGCGGCTGCGGCGATCTCGCGGATGCGCGGCTCCTCCACTCCCGCGTCCAGGCAACTCACTTCCGCCACGACAGGTACCTCTCCAATCTCTTCATCGAAGTCTATGGCAAGATTGGCAGTGTCGTGGACGCGAGACGAACTTTCGACTCCATCTCTCAGCCCAATGTATTCTCCTGGAACATGATCATCGGAGCTTACGCTAGAAATGGGTTTCTGAAAGAAGCGAGGCAGGCCTTTGATGCAATGCCCCAGGCATATTCCATCGTCGCGTCCACAGCCATGGTGGCGGCATATGCCCAGACTGGGCATCTGGACGAGGCTAAGGGAATCTTTGACAAGATGCCAACCAAGACCGTGGTGACGTGGAATGCCATGGTTGCGGCATTTGCGCAGAACGGTAGGATTGTCGAGGCACGTCAGCTGTTTGATTCGATGGACGAGCGCGA